TGCAAGGTCTTCAGTTCAAAACTACCAGCTGCTCCGCAGGAGAAAGATGAGGCTTTCTGCTCCCGTAAAGATTTATAGCCTCAGGAACCCTGTTCAGGGTCGATATGGGTCAGAACTGACTCGATGACACTTAACAACAACAACAAAGGCTCATGAGTGGCCATCTGAGGTGCAACTACTGATCTCTCCCTATGTGGAGGTAGGAAGAATGGTGAAAATTGAAGAAGCTTGGAAACAACCCAGTGGACTAATGGGCCACATAGACATCAGTCTCCATTACCCTGAGACCAGAAGAGCTAGATGGTAGCCAGCTACCACTGACAACTGCTCTGAAAGGGATTCAATTAGAAGGTCCTGGACAGTGTGAGAGACAATGTGGAACAAAATTTAAAAAACAACAACAACAAAAACAAAACTCCCAGACTCACTGGTCAGATAGAGAGTGGTGGAAGCCAAGACTATGGTCCTTGTTACCCTTCAGATCAATTTTCAGCCAAGCAACAGACAGAAAGATAGAGGAGATCACACTAGTGAAATATGCATGCTACAGAATGATAAATCATTCACTATAAAGAGGGCAGCATTTACCTAAGGACAAAATTCAGAAGATCTGGGAAGAAGGGGCAGTGGAAACTAGCAACACAAGGAGGAGGAGGTGAGAAAAGTGAGGGCATTACAGCAGAGATGAAACAAAGCATACGGTTTGTTGGATAAAAAAACTGATAATCTGCTCTTCACTCAATTCATGATAGAAAGTTTTAACAAAATTAAGAGGAAATTCACATTATTTTCATGTAATGGGAGAGATGGGAGGACACAGTCAGTACCCTCTTAGCCTTTGTCATGTTGGAGGATGTATTTAATATACATGGCTACACAGCAGATCAGCGCAAACTCAGCAGCACAACCAGATAACACTCTTAGGATCCCATAGCTCCGTAGGTCAGAACTTCTAAAGGGTTCTCTGCTCAGGATTGCACTAGTCTATATTAAGGTGTTGCTGGGCTGAACTCCAGAGGCTCTGGGAAGAATCTGCTTCTCAGCTAATTCAAACTGGTGGCTGAATTTAGTTCCGTGAGGCCTCCTCTCTGCTTGCTAGACAGGTGCTGCTCTCAGCCTTTGTAGGCTGCCTGCATTCCTCGACATGTAGCCCCCATCTTCAAATAAGCAACAGCACATCAAATTCTTTCATGCTTTGAATCTGACTTCATCTGTGACCAGCTGGGGGAAGCTTTTCTGTCTTTAAAGACCTCACTCGATTACTTGATTAGGTCAGGCTCACCAGAACAATCTCTGTATCTTGAGGGCAACTAACTTGGGTCATTAATTGAATTTATAAAATCCCTTCACTGTAGTGCCTAGATTGGTACATACATCTATGAATCCACATTTAGAATTCTACCAGCCACAGAGAGTTAATGCAGCACCAGAAGATTTTGATGATGCAACATGGTAAAGCCAAGAGTCAAGGAAACATGGGGAAGGAGCCAAGATGGACCTGGTGAGGTGGGAGGTGAAGTTGGAGTTGAATAAAGGTGTGTTTGTGCCACGTGGAAGGAGGTGCAGCAGGTGATGCATGGTAGGAAGCACTGCCAGTATGCTATGAGGAGGGCTTGACCTGAGCTGACTAGAAGTAGTTCATTCAAGGAAGAGATGGAAAGGACGGATTAGGTAATAATGATTGAGGCTGAACTGTTACCTGTGTTGAAAAATACTTCCCTCTGTGCCTCCACACTCAGTTTCCTAGCAAACCAAGTAGAGCAGGTGGTAGCTAGTCCCCTCTTCAGAGTGGGAAAGTATACTATTTGTCCTTCTCTAGTAGTAGTTCTCATTATTTTGGGGTAAGTCTCATGTAACTAATACTTTATTTCTATAAATAAACTTGAAAATTACAGTAATGTGCCAAATTCTAGTAGGCACTGATGTCTTGTCATTCAGCCAACATCAGGAGCATGCCCTGAAGCTTATGACAAACGCAAAACCCAGGTCCACACCAAACAGAGGCAGGATCTGGATTTGAACAAGAACCCTAGGGAATTCTGTGACAAAAATTGCCAAAGAATTCTCTTACAAATGGTTAATAAATTCTTCATGGCAAAACTAAAGTAAACCTCAAACTGACACTTTAAATAAATAATATCTAACTTTTGAAAGAGGTGACTTGAATTTAGGTTACTTTTCTCATAAAGGGCAGATGAAGTTCTAAAATAAAGTAAAATGATTGCTGATTTCTTAATAGTATGGACCCACTGGTGCTAGAACAGATATACCCAAGTTCATTTAGCTAATGTGGACTGAACCAGATAACATTTATTCAGCCGCTCAAAAAACTCTGGAATCCCACACCACACCAATCTCCAATGAACAGAACTCCAATCAGAAGAAGATTGGGCCACCTCCTACTGTTATTAACCTCTGTAAGCCTCAGCTTCCTGGTCTGTAAAATGAGATACAGTACTTAGCTAACCTGAGAGATGTTAGCGATTCAGCAACATCAGTGTAGAACTGAACACAGGTGCTGGTGCAGGTGGGTGCCAAATAACATCTAGTCTTAACGATGTTCTTGTGAGTTCCTGCTCAACTTACTTCATCTAGGAATGGAGGTGGTGGGAGAACAAGACTCACAACACAGAGAATCCTGGACATAATAGCATGAGGCAAAATAAAAAAGTCAGATTAAGAGCTATTTGAGGAAGGCCTGGGGGGGTGGGGGGCGGTAAGAAGGAGAACCTGAAGGCTGTCCAGGAAGCGTATGTCAAGCGAGCCCTGGCCAACAGCCTCGCCTGCCAAGGAAAGTACACTCCAAGCAGTCAAGGTGGGGCTGGAGCCAGTGAGCCCCTCTTAATCTCTAACCATGCCTACCAAGTGGATGTATTCTAAGGCTGCCCCCACTTCAACACTCCAGGCCACAGCCCCTCCCATGCCCACTCTTGAGGGGAGGAGCTCCTCGGGGCCTCCAGGCCACACTTTCCTATCACTTTTGCCATTCTTGTGATGTTGGTGTGAGGTGGTGTCTGTATGCATGAACTCCATCACCCTTTCCAGCCCACTGCCAATAAATAGCTACTGAAGGGGGGGGGGGGAAGATGGCAGGATGGATGACCCCCTACTGAGCCAGTGCAAAGGCAAATTCAGTGCTGTTTGTCAGCAGGTCTTGACAAGTCTATCTTAGTTAATCAATTAAGAATCCATGCAAGCCAACAAAGGGAACTTACAATCACCAAAAGAAAAGAAATGAATGATAAAGATTAGAACAGAAATAAATGAGATAGAAAACGATAAACTATAGAAAGATACAATAGGACAAGAAGCTGGTACTTTGAAAGGACTAATAAAATTGACAAACCATTGGCAAACCTAACAAAAGAAAAGAGGGAGAAGACACAAATAACACGCATTAGAAATCACATGGGTGATGTCACAATGGAACCAAAGGAGATCAAAATGATAATAACAGAATACTATGAAGAG